CCCACTGAATTGGAAATGACTTGTAGGCCTAATGAAACAGAACTTTGGCAGTAAAACAGAATGAAAGGAACCAGACAATAAAAGGCTGGAACAAAGGGTGCAGAGTCGCTTCGGCTTAGCAAAATAAGCTCACTTTGTTGGTGGGGAAAGCCAAAGCCGATTAGGATAAACCAACGACTGAGCGTAAGTCTTCCAAACTAATTACACAGTTCACCATGTGAAGTATAATTGGAAGCCTCCAGATGCGGGCTGCTTGGCTTTCACAGGAGTTACATAAAGTGAGAATTACCTAGCGAGCCCGGCACCGAGCAGCCCTATCATCGAGGTGAGCAGCTGAAAGGTGCAGATCTGCTCCATCCGGGACGAAGCCGAGAATTCATTAAGTTTAAAGGCCTCTTTTTGATCTCCAAAATCCTATAAGTGAGAATTTAAGAAACCGGTACTTGAAGGAGGGGCCGAAAGGGGAGAAGGAGGAAGCCCGCACACTCGGGGCTTCTTTGATCCCAGTGCTTTTTAATTACCAAGCTGGGCTCTTCCGGACGGCTATGCAGGCAGAATGGCGGAGAACCCTGCGATCGACTGTCTGGGTCTGTACGTGCACAGCGAGAGCACCATTCATGTGCCACTTTCCGGAATAGTCTGTGTACATCATGCCTGTACATATGAAATCGTGAGCACAGATAACGTCCACCAGGAAACCTGAAGCAGTGAAATAAATTGCTGCACATCAACATTCTTGACAAATGGACAAAACCCGCTCCCTCCGAGTACAGGCTGCTTCGTGGTGAAGCAGGAGAGGGGGGCTTACAAACAGCAAAGAAGAGGCTAGGTTGTACAAAAGTGACTGTCTGGGCTCTCCCCAGCATGGACTGTGTGATCTCAGACGACTCCCTGACCTTTCTCAACACCAGTGTGGCCATCTGCGTGATAGATATTCCATCTTTCTTGCTTGGACAGCCTTGAGAATCGAATTTTAGAAGGCATCAAACAGCTTAGCACAAAGTACACATCCCCTGAAGTCAGAAACATCAACTTGTAGTAAAAGAAGCTCTTGTAGTAAAATCTGAACTTCACAAATTCTGAGTCTTCGTTTAATTTAGATCAAGCACATGTAAGAAGGAGTTGGAAATACTCTACGGATCCCTAGATCTTACTCATAGGATGAAGATTCCGGTTTATAAATAGCAGCTTTTTCCAAATAGAGAATCCCTTCACTGTTCCTGCAACTTGAAGTCCAGAAATTAGCTCCACCACAGTTATGACTGTTTCACTTACTCTCTCACACTTGGTACTATTGAGAATATCTTGCTTTAGTTATGGTCTACAGATGCCTTAGATATCTATCTACCCATATACCCTCCTACGTATGTTTATTTAAACACATTTTCTAGATTATTAAATTTGCAAGCTTGAAACCAACCTTAGGAATAACCTAGTTCAGGAGTTGGCAAATTACGACCCACGAGACCAATGCGGCCCACCGCCTGTATTTATAAATAAAGTTTTATTGGAACACAGCCACATCCAATTATGGATTGGCTATGGCTGCTTTCTCCACACAAGAGCAGAAGTAAATGTTTATAACAGAGACCCTATGCTCTGCAAAAGCCAAAAATATCTACTATCTGACCCTTCACAAGTTTTCCAATTCCTTCCCTTAGATAAGAACCTGAGGCCAGGAAAGAAATGGCCTGTTAAGGTGTCACAGTGGGGTCACTGCACAGTCAGGCCCACCATGAGCACTTTGGCTAGTTCTACCTTTACCTTTCTCTAATGACAGCCATCAGAACAGCTACCCAGGGGGCGAGGATGGCCATCCAAGGTAGCAGAACCCTTATGCCAATGGCCACCCTTCATAATCTCATCTTAAATATAAACAAGTAATGACATCCCTAACCAGGGGGGTGGGGGTAAATTTCTGGGAGGAGGGTGGGAGAAAAGCACAAAAGGGTTTACAAACCTCCAATTTGAGTTATTTAAAGCTCCCGGTGTGGTGTTCTGCACCCACTCTACTTACAGTAATGACATATTTAAACTCCCTGAGCTCAGCCCCATGATAGCAGTCTCACCCATCTTGACTGCCACCTGAAATAAACAGTTGAAGCAGCTGCCACCTCAGGCACGATGGGAAGGGTGACAGGAGTGAGGAATGACAGTGAGGGAAACCTAAAACGCGGGTGGCAAATCCTGAACGGAGGCCTGGGAGGATGGAAAGTTCTGGACATGGAAGAAGAGGAAGTAGGGTGTTTGGGATTTTTTTTTTTCTTCTGGCTGCTATCCTGCCTTACCTGGGCGACCTTTATTGAGACCCAACCTCCCTGACCCTTATTGTTCACCTTCATCAAAGGACTGGACGACACCAAAATCCACCATGCAGGTAAAAGCAGGCGACAAATGTCCAGTTGCCAGCACTGTCCCGGGACCACAGGGGGTCATGGTCTTTTCCTTTCTTTTGCATCCTCCCCACCCCAAGTCCATCCTGCGGATTGATCCGAGGTTGGAACAGGACCCAAAGTTCAGGTTCTGCTATCGGACAGGCCTGGAGGGGAAGTCTGCGTCCCACACTGCCTTTCAAGGGTGACCACGGTAGCCTCCCAGAGAAGAATTCAACGAGATAATATAAGTCAACGGCCTGACCCAGCACCCAACACTTAGTACGGAATCACTAACACCACACCTCGCAGTTAACCAACTAAAAAGAGCCCCAAACCCCTTTACGGTCGGGAATGTGCACAAGTGTGTGAGTCTACTTCACACAGGCGTGTGTGTGTGTTCTGTTTTCTTCACCCAGAACATAAACTACCGAAAGGTAGAGTCACTTTGTCACTTTGCCGCTGGATTTACTTAGCGCCTTAAGGCCCAGTGGCGGGGTCTCTTCTCTTTGGATCAGTCTGGATTTAGATGAATTACACCAGAATCCTGAGAGGTGGTGGGTGGGCCCTGCCCAAGGGGCCACAAACATAACACCGGCCACCAGCAAGAGGAGGAATAAACCCCTCTGAAGACAGACCCAGATAATACACAGAGCATGTGCATGAAACAAGCTACAAAAATAGGAGCACAGACAACGTTACGGTTCTGAGACATTCAAAAGTCTCCTTAGTCCTTTAATGACACACCTGATAAGTTTACACAGCCTGCTGGACTCTACAAATGTTACTGCTAAAATGAACTGAGCAGCTCCAGACCCAGTGCGGGCCACGCCAGGGAAGACGGTCTGTGAACGCCTCCGTGACAACGGACAACCGTTCTCAGGGCAGGGGTGGTCGCTGCCCTGGGCCGGGCCAAAGCTCACAGAGCCTCCCACTGCTGGCAAACTGGTCCCAACCGGTAAGTGTTAAAGAAAAAAGGCACAAAGTCAGAAGAGAAAGGGGGAAGCGAGAGAGAAGCCGGAGGCGGGAACGTGCGGAGAGGTGTTGCAGGTACCGGCCTGTTTGGGAAACTCTCACAGCCCATCTGGGCAGCACCGGCTTCCCTGACACCCACGAACAGGCCCACGAGATTCCAATGCAGGTTATGGCTCAAGCAAGAAACCCCGCCTGCAAACACGTCTGCAAACACTACCCCCCCCCCCCCCCCCCCCCACCCCCCCCGGCCTCCCTGGCGCTTTAAATATGTCTTGAAGAGAAAGTACACGGTCACCACCACACTCAGCTATTCTCTGAAACCGGCCAGAATGAATCAGCCCCCAACGGGCAAGGCGAGGCAGGGCCACGGGGACGGCGTCTTTCACAACCGACCTGGAAGGGCAGTTAAGTGCCACTCTGAATGCAAGGCCAGCCCGGAGGAGGCTGCTTTCTCTTTGTTGCGTGTCTCCCATCCATGCAGAAATTGACTATTACCAAAGGCAGGAAAATCTCCTTTTGGAGGCTAAATAGCAGTCACGGCACTCCTCCGAGACGAGAGCTCACAACAGGACACGCCTGGGGACAGGGTCACAGCGGCCCATCGCCTTGGGCAAATAAATAAAAGCACAGAACCTTCGGACCAGTCGGCAGTCGGCAGTGCCTTATACCACCTAGGGCAAGCACGACAGCCGCACAGGGGGAACTGAGTGACAACGCTTAGGACAGGTGCACAGTGTCTTCTCGGGACGCAGTCCTCTGGGGACACAGGCCTGTGCAGACCACCCCACACCCGGGCTCCCAGGACAACATCCACGACTGCTCAAAGATGAGGGAAGCAGAGGGCCAGCCCAGCCACTGCCAGCCTCCTGGGACACAGCAGCCAGAGGACGGGTGTCACACAAAGCCAGCAGGGCCAGTCTCTCCACAGGCTGCCATGCTGGAGCCCTGGAACAACGTTACTTTCCAAAGCCCCAGCTCCCCCGCCAACCAAAAAGAGGCTGAATTAAGCACATCACCCATGGTTACATGTCCCGTCTGTCTGTCTGTCTGACTCTGTATAACCCACACACTCTCACCCTCCGTTTCCTGACTGACTGGGAAGATTGTGTGTTGCTCCCAGCCTGTTCCAGCAGCAGAGCTCAGGGGATAATTTTACTTCTGTCTCACATACATTCTGACAGGTACAGTCCCAAGCATCTTTCCCGAGTCTCCGTGGGCATCTGACAGGGGAAGGTTCAGCCACCAAAGGCCCCCGGGAGCTTCCTCTCTTAATGCATCTTCCAGAAAGGCACAGAAGGAAGCCCAGCATCGACTCACAGGCCTCTAGCAGCTTCCGTGGGAGCTCCTGTCCTGTGAGTCACGGCCCCGCATCCCTCCCCAGCCGCTGCCACCACCAGCTCCCAGCCCAGGCCCCACGTGGTCACCGAATGGCAGCAGAACCCCACTGAAAGGCTGCTCTGTCTGTCTGCTCCTGCAGGCACGCGGGGCACCGTGCCGACCACAAGCCGGACTCCTCCATGTCAGCTCCTGACAGATTTCACTTAAATCTTGACAACCAAGTTCAAGGACAAGGTTCTCGAGGACGCAGCTGTGGCAAAGGGGGGGGGGGGGGGGGGAGGGAGGGCACGGCAGCCAGCCCCACGCACCACTTACCTTGCCAAACTGCTCAAAGTACTGTTTTACATCCTCCACCACCGTGTTCGCAGATAATCCGCCTACGAATATTTTCTTTGTTCTTGTGACCATCTGCAAGAAACGACACGAGGAGGGCATGGGTTAACCAGGTTATCTGAAGCAACGCTCGCCAAGATGCTGAAACAAGCCGCTTTGCACGTTTCTCTAGGAAGGCAATTCTAGATAAATTTGAGCTGCGCGGAGCGGGCCCTGCAGACATCTCAGAATGCTGGAGATAGCCACTCTGGATTTCTCAGGCCTTCAGCCCACAATCTACGAGCTTGAGTTGCATACAGACACAGAGTGGACTTTGGAACCTCTTCGGCCATGACACGAAGCTTCATTCGGATTTCCAGCGCAAAGAGAAAAGCGGCATGTTCAAAGCTATTTCGAACCTGAGACATGTGAACAGAATTACGTGCATAAAAACCTGTGGCCCAGAAAGTGCCGTAAACTTTGTCGAGAAGAAACTGATACATCATTCAAACGTACGGGCGGGCTGTCTACATGGAGCCGTCCCGGGTGCTGGTTTGTGTGCGCCAACAAGACGGAGGCTGACCTCCCACTCAAGGGTCACTCTCCAAGTGACCTCATTGGGCCACTGGGCCTCATTCTCCTTTCCCCTCTAGATTCTGCCATTATCCACCCTGATTCACCCTACACTCAGTCAAGGCCAGCCAATCCACAGGTATCCAACCCTTTGTCCACACCAATCCTTCTCCCTGGAATGCTTCCCCATGCCTAAGTCTCCCAAGGCAAGTTGTCACCATCCCGCGAGACCCAACGACCTTCTCCAAAATGCAAGTTATCTATATAGTTGCCACATCCAGAAGCTGTCCCTATCTCTTCCAGAACCCTGACACTGCACCCGCCAGTCCCAGCACCCACTTCTTCCCACCTAGAGCTTTGTTACTTTTTCCCCCAGACTGGGAATTCCCAATTCTTCTCGGTACCCTCCACGATGCCAAGTCCACAGCCAGGCACACGGAAGCCCACACCAAAATGGTGGACGCGAAAACAAACGCATGTGGTCGTGTTTCAGAATTCCACCAGTTCCAATGCAAAGGGAAAAGCTTCAGAATACAAACGGTTCAGAGAAGGAGCCAGATATAGGTAGGCGCCAAAAGTGAAACAAGAAAATAAATGTTATTCTGAACACCAAGCTTACACTGTATGTGCGTGTGTGTGTGTGTGTGTGTGTGTGTGTGTGTGTGTGTTTTAATGTGACATAAAACATTTTTTATTTAAATGTTCAATAAAAAAATGTTCAACCTCAGTGGGTACAGGGTCTCACCAATTTGGCTGCGTATGGTAAAAGCCCAACGTCTTAACCTGATGGGAGAAATTCTATCACAATGCACATGTGTATCAAATCATAATGTTTGCACACTTCTGTCAGGGGTACCTCGATAAAGCTGAGGGAAAAATGTTTGATGAGACCATTCAAATAAAAGCATGACAGGGGTGCCTGGGTGGCTCAGTCGGTTAAGTGGCCGACTTCGGCTCAGGTCATGATCTCGCGGTCTGTGGGTTCAAGCCCCGTGTCGGGCTCTGTGCTGACAGCTCAGGGCCTGGAGCCTGTTTCAGATTCTGTGTCTCCCTCTTTCTCTGACCCTCCCCTGTTCATGCTCTCTCTCTCTCTGTCTCAAAAATAAATAAATGTTAAAAAAAAAAAAAAAAAAAGCATGACTGAAGGGGCACCTAGGTGGCCCAGTCAGCTGAGCATCCAACTACTGATTTCAGCTCAGGTCATGATCCCAGGGTCATGCGATCAAGCCCCGCTCCAGACTCCACGCTAAGCAAGGAGCCTGCTTGGGATTCTCTCCCTCTCTCTCTTTCTCCTTCTGCCTCTCCTCCACGTGCCTTTTTTCTCTATCTCAAATAAATATTCAAAAGTGAATAAAAGCATGACTGAAAACCCAAAATAAGTGAACAAGACAAAGCTCAGAATGGTTTTTAAAAATTCACAGTGGCATGTATGTTTATTACAACTCCATGGAGAGTGCCTAAATACGGGGGCCACGGCTGCCAGGATTCCCACTGTCCCCAAGGCAGAGACACACTGGCCGAGGGAATGTACCAACCAAACGGTTTCCTACAAGAGTGCCCTGGCCGGAGCACCTGGGTGGCTCAGAGCGGGTTGAGCATCTGACTTTGGCCCAGGTCACGATGTAGCAGTTCATGAGTTCGAGCTCCACATCGGGCTCGCTGCTGTCAGCCTGTCGGCGCAGAGCCCGCTTCAGAGCCTCTGTCCCCCTCTCTCTGCCTCTCCCCTACCTGTGCCATCCCGCAAATAAATGTAATAAATAAACAAACAAAGAAATAAGAGTGCCGTGGCAGAGTGGTTAGTGGCAGGCTGTGTGCTGAGGAGCGCCCCCCAGAGGTTTCGGCCCCACGCTCTGCACTGTGAAAGTCCTGGACCACCAGGCCCACCTAACCCCAAACTCCCATCAATCAGGAAGCACAATGGCCACGAAAGGAGACTCTCAGACTTCAAGGAGCTCACACTTTGGCTTAGAGGCTTCTGGAAGGGACGTATGCCACCACAGCCCGTTGACTGAGCCCCATCCGGAACGTCCTTCTAGTGGACTTGCTGCACTATTTTAAGAGGACATTGTCCTAGCAATGCCACGCACTTCCTGTTGGCTGTGAGAGCCAGGCGGTGGTTGCATGTGCGTTCAAAGCTGTGATTTATCGCTTTTCGGCTCTCTTCAGATGAACGGGAGACGAGAGAAGATAAGGCACACGAGACGTTCTACGAAGATCCCACCCGCACCCAGTACCAACTCCAAGAGCCTCTCGTTAACGGCCGGACACCTTACTCTGCTCCCTCCGGTGGAGCAGGTCACCTCCCCGTGACACTCTCAGTCCCTCTCCAGATGGACATCTCTCCCTACACTCACTGACCGCCAGCTTTTGCCACCTACCTTTCCTAACGGGTGCACTCCACAGACACATGAAGTGCTAGGTGTGGGAGCCCACGTTCCAATACAACGTGTAATTTAATCCACTATAAAATGGAAATATAATAATTAGCCTACCACGCGAGGTTCCTATTAGGACTAAATTAAATAACATATGCCAAAGTGTCTAGCAGGACACCAGGCAGATGCTAGATAAGTGGTCACCGTAACTGAATCCAAAGTCAATTACTAAATTCATCCTTCAAGCTCAGAATAGATGTGCGGCAGAAAGACACCTTGCACAAAGATCTTTGATAAATCCACTCTCGGTACCTCCGTTCTCTTCCACTGTAATTTCAAAACCGTTTTCCTGCATCTCTACGTGATTTCGGATGGGCAGGGACTCCCAATAGTTTCACTTCAGATTTTTCATTCTTTTTTTTTTTCTTTCTTTCTTTTTTCCACCCAGCTACAAGTAATTAAATATCTATAAAAAAATACTAATCTGGGGCGCCTGGGTGGCACAGTCGGTTAAGCGTCCGACTTCGGCCAGGTCACGATCTCGCGGTTCATGAGTTCGAGCCCCGCGTCGGGCTCTGGGCTGATGGCTCAGAGCCTGGAGCCTGTTTCCGATTCTGTGTCTCCCTCTCTCTCTGCCCCTCCCCCGTTCATGCTCTGTCTCTCTCTGTCCCAAAAATAAATAAACGTTGAAAAAAAAAAAAATACTAATCTGACCCACAAACATGCACTAATGGTGTTCTGAACTTGAAGAAACTCTGGAGAAGCATTCCATAAAATGAACCCCATGGTCCCATTTACAATTGTTTAGAGCCAGGTGGGTACAGAGCAGGCCCTATTTATATTCCAAATGTTCACATGGACCCAGATAATTAAACGAGTAACATGTCTTCATTCCAAATAACAGAAGTCAACAGAATGTTCATTCCCCAGTAACCGGTTGAGTGAAAAGGTCCCCTCTTACACCCTCTACTGCTGCTCAACAGCAGTAAACCTATCAAGCCAGAGCCCTAAACACTGGGGCAGACACCCAGCTATAAATCTGCACGGTCCAAAAAAAGTCTTTAAAATACTTTTTTTTAGAAGGATGAGAAATCCCAGGCCCCAGACACTGCGCCAAAGTGTCCGAAGTTACTAAAACATCCTCTCCAGGAACCGGCTCAGATACAGTGATGGATCCCACTCTTCAGCAAACACTAAAAGGAAACTGGTTTAATCAAAACCCTCCAGACGTGAAAAGGCCAGTGGGAAGATGTGTAACAATCGGTTAGCTGCTCACCAATGGCTTGGCTTCAGGAGAGGAGGGCACGGCT